CCAACTCATATACATATATACCCATGATATACATATGCCCATATACGTTTACCCATACAGATACCCATACATGTACCCATATTATACGATTACCCATGCAGATACGCATACAGATGCCCACCATATGTATTGTTCTCCTTCTCATGGCTCGCCTCCTTCTCGAAATGTATCGCATTGCTGTCCATTGAGTTGACTGGTGGCTTGGATATATCGTGGCATCAATTTTTTTCTCTTTTGTTCTTTTTCGAATATCCCCCTCCTCCTCCCCTTCCTTCAGAGAGGTAGTATTCAACCAACCAACCCCGACCCCAACCCTAGCGAGTCCCGACCCATCTACTCTTCATGACCGTCTTCTTATCCCAAGCGAGTCTCCTCCCGATGTTCCCAAAACAGAGACTGCTGCAGAAGAGCACGCTGAGCATCCAAGCTCCCGCCTCGACAGTCTCCTGGCTGACGATGGCGGCGAGCGGGAAAGCATCGACCCCCCTCGCTGCTGCTGCTGCTGCTGCCGCCGCCGTGCCGGCCGAGTGATTGCCCGTGGCGCCGATCCTGCCGTCGCCGCCGCGCAGCACATCCAGGCTGGCGGACGGGACGGGCATCATGTCCGGGTCCGTTCCGAGGAGGACCACGGACCCCACGACACCCACGGCAGCCGAGAGGACCAGCCCCACGGCCGATCGGTCGATCAGCCACCACAGGAGAGGGTTGACCGAAGCGAGCGTGAAAGCGACCTGAAGAGTCGAATCCCAAGCCAGACGTCTCTGTTTTTTGTTTTTGTTTTTTTTCCCTTCTGTCAGTGACCGGGGGTGGAAGGCTAGAGGATGAGGAGGGATGGATGGCTTACAATGGCGAAAACTATCCCCATAAAGACACCGATGGGACGCAGAATCATGGCCAGATCCGTGGTCCGGCCACCGACACCGGCCAACGCCCCGCGGTCCTTCTGATCGCCGTCGTCGTCGTCGTCGTCGTCGTCGTCGTCCCCGTCGACGACGGCACTGCTGCCGTCGTGGCGCTTTCCGTCCGCGACGGATGCGCCGAGCGTAGCCGCCCAGATCCTGTCAAAGGTCGGCATGGCGCCGCCCAGCACAACGCCCGAGACGCCCCAGAAGACCAGGTTCCTCCGGGCGTGGTCGACCTTGTCTGCCGCCGCAGCGGCAGCGCCGGCGTCGGCAGCGGAGCCAGCGCCCTTCTCGAACCGGGCCAGCACCACGCCGAACCCCAGACCGAGGGTGAAGAGCAGACCGCACCGGACGGCCAGCGACGCGGCGGACACTCCGCCGCCGCTGCCGCCGCCGCCGCCGCCGCTGCGTGGGTGACGGCTGCGACCGACCCGGTCGGCGTCGACGGTGACGGTGCTGTAGGCCCTCCCGCGCTGGGGGTGCGAGCGCCGCTTCATGAGCTCGTACGTGACGTCGTCGATGCTGGGGCGTCGGAGGGGTGTCCGTGTGCCGGGCGTGACGGTCACGGCGACGTCAAACGTCCGGTCGCCGTCCTCGTCCGCCCCCGGGGTCGCGGGGGAGAAGATGCCCGACAGCGTCGAGGCGGTGAGGTTGCGGGTCGACGGTGGGCGGCTGATGTCCGCGCCTGCCAGTGATGGGGAACCGTCGACATCATCGTCGTTGCTGCCGCTGCGGTTGAATGGTCGGCGGGGGATCGGTCGGATTAGAGGGGGGGCATTGTCGGTCATGTTTTCTTCTTCTCCTTCTTCTTCTTCTCTCTCTTTTTTTTTTATTAGTATGTTTTATTGCAAACGATGACGTCGTCTCTTCTCTTCTTTATTTTACATCCAAGAAGAAGAAGCACGTGAAACAATCCAAGAGCAAGAGAGGTGGTTTCTGCCTAAGAACCAGAAAATAAAGGATTCGGGTGGATAGGAAAGAGCCAAAGGGAACTAAGAGTAGTTCATATCTTTAGGCGGAACAGAGAGAAAGGCCCGAGCCGAACAGGAGAAGGAGAAAAAATAGGGAGAGAGAGAGAGAGAAGGGAATCTGAGAAAGAGAAGAAGGGGAGAGAGAGGAGAGGGGGGGGGGAGGAGAAAGAGAGGGGGGGGGGAGGGAAAAGGGAAAGAAAGAAAAAAAGGAATGACAAAAATCTTGTTCTGTTGCGAGGAGCAGTTTTTCTATCAATCACATGCCAATTTCGGGGTCGTCTTCTATTCCGTCTCTCTCGACTCCTCAAGTACGAATATATGATGCGGAGCAGGGAGTACGGGGGACAACAACTACGAGCAATACTTGACTACCTTGTGACTCCATACAATCATATTACGAGTATATCTTGAATAAGAACGACCTAGCGACTCTCGTTAACGATATGGTATTGATAGTATTATACATGTACGAGTACATCCTTTTCTTTTTTTTTTTTTGCCTTGTAATACGAGTGCTACTCGTACGTGTCGTATTTTCCCCGCCTTTCCCCCCTCTTTGCCTTTTCCCTTGCTTCGTGCATTGCATGTAACGACAGCAGAAGGCATAAGCCTACCCCCCCCCCCCCCCTCCCTCCTCCTCCATCATCTCTTCTCCCCTTCCTCTTCCCTTGATCAATGGCAGACGTAGACGTATTTTTCCCTCGTCCCCTCGTCTCCCCCAAGTATGCCATGTATCGGTGTCGATCCGTGTTGAGGCGTAACCTGCACCCGTACAGCCAAACGTCAGATTAACTGCGGGGAAGGGAGAGGGAAGGGAGAGGGGGGACTTTGTTGGGCGTGGAGGAATCATCTCAATCGTCATTGGTTGCGGGTGACTGTCTTCGTCGTTGAAAGACGGCCTGACGGGTTTGATGGATTACTCATCATACTTCTACTCAGTGTTGTTACCGTATTACCGTATTACCAGTATTACCAGTATTACCAGTATTACCAGCGTATATTGCCGAGTGAGCAGATATTGAAATATACATCATGAATAAATTCTTCTTCTCGTCTCGTCTCTCTCTCTCTCTCTCTCTCTCTCTCTTGTGAGTACCGTATGTCTACGGAGTGTACCGAGTACTGCTCCGTACGAGTAGTGCATGCATCTACCACCGTGCTCAGCTCATGCCCTGAATGTTTCTCGGCAGCATCACGTTACATCTCTGTATGGAACGACGTGTTCGGGAGATCTGATCGCGTGACGCAGCATCTCGTAGATGGCACGATGGTACCTGCCTGCTACGGCTACTCCCAGCAGCATCACTTCCAGCAGTACCGTACTCGGCCGCCAATCTCATCTTCTCGTGCTCTTTTGATCCGGGTAAATTTCAGGACATATGATGGGATTTCACTCCTCGTCATCACTATCGCCGTCCTCGTCCTCGTCCTCGTCCTCGTCCTCGTCCAGAAAAACACCGTCGTCATCCTCCACGTCGTCATTGGGCGTCATGAGATACGCAGCCATACACATGATGCGATTATCGGTCCGGTACGTCCCCACAAGACGGCCCTTTACCGGCTCCGCCTCGCCGTCGGCGACGACGCCGCGCAGCTCATCCACGCCGAGCGCCCAGACCCTCACGACGCCATCGCTTCCGCCGCCGATGGCGTAGAGGGTGGCGTTGTCGCCGTCGTCGCTGCCGCGGACGAGGACGAAGTCCTTGATGCGGGAGCCTACCCCCTCGGCGCGACCGCCGACCTGGGCCACCGTGCGCGCCGCTCCGGGCGCCATGCCGTCCTTGACATCCTCCAGCGGCGTGATGTGCTCGTCTGCCGTGGAGACGATGACGATGCGTCCGTCCTCGGTAGAGACGGCCAGGAGCGACCTTGCTTCTCCCGCTGCCGCTGCTGCCGCTGCCGCCGCCGTCTTGTCGTCGCCGTCACCGCCGCCGACGGAGTGGTACCGCACCTGGTGAACCTTGGTGCCGGACGGCTTTGCCCCTCCCAGGACGAGGCACTTGGGGTTGCCGTCGACGCCGAAGACGACGACGTCCCTGTCGAAGCCGACGGCGAACTCGTCGTCGCCAAAGGCCAGCTTCTGCGCCTCGCCCGACGCGTGCCTAGACTCGCCCACCTGCTGGAGCAGGTGACGCCCGTAGCCGAGGGCCTTGGCCCTCTTCCCCGTCGTCAGGTTCCACGGCCTCACCTTCTTCTCGCCCTTGCTGGCCGTCATCATGAGCTTCATGCTCGGGTGCAGGGCGAAGTCGTTGACGCCCTGGGGCGTGCCGTCGAAGGCCGCCGTGTCGCCGCTCGGCCGGCCCTCGGCCTTGACCATGGGCGCCCGCAGCGTGCTCAGCAGGGCCCAGTCGCGCGTCCGCGTCACCGCCACCGTCGCGTCCTCGCTCGCCGACATGAGCTTGGACCGCAGTGGGAACGACAGCGCCGTCACCGCCGACGCGTGGTGCTCCAGGCTGCCCAGCTCGCGGTTGCGCCGGTCCTCGGCGATCGGCCGCGGCGCGAGGTGCCGCATCAGCGACGCCGTCGGGTCCGCCTCCTCCTCCGCCCTCGCGCGCGCGGGCGCCGTGTGGGCCGTCAGCTCGTACAGGTTGATCTTGGAGTCGGAGCTGCCCGATGCCAGGATGCGCTTCTGGCCCTGGCCCGCCTTGCCCGTCGAGGGCGGGGATATCGCCAGGCATCGTATCGACTTGGTGTGTGCGGTCAGGAGGAACGTGTCGGCAAATTCCATCCTTCTCTCATCCTCGTCCTCGTCCTCGTCCTCGTCCTCGTCCTCGTCCTCGTCCTTCTTCGTCCTGTTCTTCTCCTTCTCCTTCCTCTCCGTCTTCTTCTTCTTCTTCTTGTCCCGGTCACTGTTCTTGCTTCCCTCGGCAGCAGACTTGATCGTACCCGTGAATCCGTGCAGGACTCCGTCGTAGAATCCGACAACGATCTGTATCGTCTCCGTCTTCGAGCCCGATGTCTTGATCGTGGAAGCCGTCGTCGCGGCCGCCGGCTTGGCCGATTCTGTCTTGGCCGTCGTAGTCTTCTGCTTCTTGGTCGTCGTCGTGGTCTGTGCCTTGGTCACCGCGGCAGGAGCAGCAGCAGCAGCAGCAGCAGCAGCAGCAGGCTCGCTAGCCACAGGGGTATCGGTCCTCTTTCTCTTGGCCATCTTGATCGTGCTCTGTATTATTGACAAGAAAGGAAGAAGAGAAGAGAAAAAAAAAGTGGTGTTGAAATAGTAGTGATGGCTCTCCTTCTTTTTCTTTTTTCTTCTTCTTGGGGTTTGAACTCGTACTAGTAGAGCAGAAGAAGAAAAAAAAAAAAGTTCGGTCCATTGAGCTGATAAGATAAGACTGGTTTGTTGCATATCCTCGTTAAGCCAATCGCTATCACTCTGTCGGTAGTAGTCGCACCACTGGATGGATAGATCAAACCATTGTTGGAGAAAACGTAGTACATGATACTGGTACAAGGTATCTTTACTAAACGTAAAACATAGAAAAGATCAAAACTACTACGCCATTCAACATCTTCTATATAGAATCTTGTATACTTATAAAAGAAAAAGAAAAAAGAAGAAAAAAACAAGGGACCCAATGTATATATGTATATATATTATGACTGATGACTGATGGACTGATGACTGATGGGGAGTGTGTGTTTTGAGACACCGGAAAAAGAAAAGAAGCCTCACACTCGGTCTCAAGACCTCGACGCCCCATCTTCGATACTGCTCAGGCTGGGAAACCGATGAGAGAATTCCTCGAGGTAGCTATCCCTCTCCGCGGCCGTCATATCCAGCGTCGGCTGGCCCGGCAGGTCCACGGCGATGAGCTGCTCCTGCGCAGCAGGTTGGCTCCTCTTGGGAGGGGATGCGGGGCGGTCGGTGCTGATGTTGCTGCCCGTCCCCGTGGGGATGCTGTTCAGGTGGACGGGCTTCTTAGGTGCGACGGGCTTCCCTGCCGCCGCCGACGGTTTCGGTGGCAGAGACCGGGGGGCCGTCTGACCAGCACCAGCACCAGCACCAGCACCAGCACCCGCACCCGCACCGCCGCCGCCGCCCAGGGGCTTCCGCGGGACGGCGGGCAGAGGCTTGTCCTTGTCTTGCGCCGAGGCGGACGCAGTTGCGTCAGAGTACTTGCCGTAGCCCTGCGCCGTCCTGGGGATCTGGGCAGGTGACTGCCGCTCCGCCAAGAGACCTTGCACGCGGCTCTGGATGCTCGCCGAGCGCTGAGGTGCCCCTCCCCCGGTGGTGTTGCGGGCACCGCCCAGCGCCGGTCCTGGCGGGCCGCCCCCTCCCCCTCCCGCTGCCACGCGCTTGCGGTACTCGGCCTGCGCCGCCTCCACGCGCTCCTCCTCCTCTTGCAGCATCAGCCGCTCCATCTCGCGCCTCATTTCTGGCGTCATGTCTTCCGGGTCCTCGGGCACGGCATTGCCACGCACCTCCAACGTGACGGCTGCCGCTCCCGGTTCGCTCGTCGGCGTGTCCTGCTTCAGAGGCGACGGCGACCTGGCTTGGGGAGCGGAGCCGCCGCCGCCCTCGAAGCGCTTGAAGGCGTCGCCGAATGTGCCGGACGCGGTGTTTCTCGTCGGTGGTGTCGACGACGAGCTGGGTGCCTGGCGACTCACTCCCGTGCTGTCCGACGACTCCGCCGGGCGAGGCTCCTCGGGTCCGCTCAACAGGTCGAGCTTCGTCGGCTCCCCGGCCGGGGGGGTGTTGTCCGTGGATGCCAGGTTAGCCCAGGGCAGCGGGGATGGTGCGTCGCGGGGGGCCGCCAGTCGGCTCTGAGGCCTGGACATGGCCTCCCTCTCACGCAGGTAGTCCACGGTCGACGTCGTTTCGAGGATGGTGCTGTGCGGCCGTGGCCTGGCGCTCCGGGTGGGTGCGATATCCAGCAGATCCTCCTCGAGCTTCTGCATGCGGGAAGCCGACGAGGACCTCGTGCCCATGGCCGGAGGGGCCTCGAATGAGGAAACGCGCGCGCTGACGCTGGGAGGGGGCGCATCCGCCGACTGCTGCTCCTGCTTCCCGCCCGGGACCGGCTGCTCTGACATGCGGTGGGGCCCAGAAGCCTGGATCTGGCTGAGGCGGTGCGAGACTTTCCCGACGGGGTCGAACGGGAGGTCGGAAGTCGACGTGCCGGTAGACACATAGTTGGACAGCTTCTGGGACGAGATGTTCTGAAGATCGGGGTTGCTGCTGATGATGGACTGCGCCCGGCTAACGCCAGCCTTGGCTGGTCCGGACGCGGTCTTCGGGAGCGCTTCGACGTGGCCGGGCACAACCTTGGCTGCAGACTGTGCAGCCGCGGGCGCGACGGACTGGGGGCGCGGGCCTGCGGGTCCAATGGGGGGGCTCTTGCTGGAGACAAACGCCTCTTCTGCCATGCGGTAGGCAGAGCCGTCAGCGTCCTTGTTCGGCTGAGTGGCCGAGGTGGGCGTGGTGGCATCAAACTCAAATTTGGAGCCCTGGTCGTGGAGGAGTGAGAACTGGTCAAGTGAGGGGAACCGCGACGAGAACTCGTCGGGGTTGGTGCTTCCCAGAGCAGATGCCTTCGAGTCCAGAGCCGCAAACGGATCACCGCCAGACGGCTTGGATGAGGGGAGCCCAGAGGCCTTGGGCGGGGCCTGCTGCAGCGACACGGGCCGGGGGGCTGGCGACGCCACCGGGGGGCGGACTGGTGATGGTGCGGGACGGCCTCGGCGCATGGGCGTGACATCAGGAATCGTCTCCTTCTCCTCGACCGGCCGCGAGAGGACAGCGCCGACCGGGGCCGGGGCCGGGGCCGGGGCTTTCTGTGTCGGGTTCGATGCTTGGCCCGAGCTGCCCGGGCCGGAGCTGGAGGTACCCGAGTAGATCTGGAGAGGCTGCGGTCAGTGACAGCCCAGACGTGTCCACTCCTCTCGAGAGGCTTACATCGCGGATCGGCACCTCGCGTCCGTGCATGGTGCAGGCCTCCTTGACGACCTGGTAGATGTTTGGTCGCTCACCGGGGTTCTCCTTGAGCATGGAGGCTATATGACAAGTGCGTTAGTCGGAGCGCTGATCAGCAGCTGATTTCGGTCGCAGGTCCTCGTACCAATAAGCCTCTTTAGCCTGTCGGAGAAGAGTGGCGCGCTCGGAAACCGGTAGCTGGCGTTGAGGATGGCAAGCTGGCCCTGGTCCTCAAAGGGGGTAGTATAGTAGCAGAGCTTGTACAGGAAGACGCCGAGGGCCCAGATGTCGGCCTTCTCGTTGAGGGGCTGCTTGCGGTAGACGTCGACCATCTCGGGGCTCCTGTACTGGAGAGTGGTGTGCTTCTGGACATCCTCGTCCATGAGGCGGCACTCGGTGACCGAGGTGGGGGCCGGAGTCGGGGGGGCCGAGGATCCAAAGTCGCAGAGCTTGAAGCGCTTGTGCGATGCGGACGAGGAGGAGCCACCGCGGCTGGTGATGAGGACGTTTTCGATCTTGAGGTCCCTGTGCAGCAGGGGCGGCTTGAGGTAGTGCATGCAGGCGACGCCCTCGGCAATATCGCAGAAGATGTCGAGGATCTCGGGTTCGGTGAGGCGGTGCTGCAGACGCGTGTTCATGAGGTCGATGAGCCCACCGCCGCTGCAGAACTCCATGAGCAGGAAGACCTCGTAGCCGCCGCCGCGCATCTCGGACGCGTGCGAGTCGATGTACGTGACGATCATGCGGTGGCCCTTGAGACGCTTCATCGTCTCGACCTCGGTCCTCATACCCTTCAGGGCCTCCTTGTCCGGCACGGCGACCCGCTTGAGCACGGCCTGGTCCGTCCCGTTGACCGGCTGCGGCATCTTGACCACGTACACGTGCGCGAAGCCGCCCTCGGAGAGGTACTTTACAATGACGACTCGGTGGCTGCCGACCTGGATCTTGGTCCCCGGCTGGAAAGTCCCCGCCGGTGCTGGCGGCCCTGAGATGCCCGGTACCGATGCCCCGTGCCCTCCATGATGATGGTGGTGCTGCGACTGTCGGGGAGCCGCCGCACGGGATGCCATGTGGTGCTGTCCGTACGACGCCATCATCCTTCAGCCAGCGAGGCTCTCTTCTCTTGTATGTACCGCGGGGAGCCCTCCTGTCGTCTGCACAGCGCTCCTCCTCCTCTCTTCCTCTTCCGACAGCGATCCGATGACGGGAGAGAGCGAGAGCGGTTATCCGCAGCCGTTCTTGTCGTAGCTGTGTGGGGTGACGTAGTGATCAAGGTAGGGGGGTCGTGTCCGGTCTCTCTACCCAAGGATAGGCGGTGCGACAGTGAGAAGATGATGGGCGGTGCCTAGTAGGCAGCCGTCGTAGCAGAAGAGCAGAATCAATATGCTTGAGAGACGTGAGGAAAGGCCTATATCAGCACAGTCTATCATCCGGAAAGGACAATATACATGTATCAGACAATGTAAAAGATTGGCCCCAGGGGACTTCTTCGGAGAACGCGTGCCTCTTCCCCAAAGACCTTGTGATGAGGGCGCAGTTCGCCAATAGCAGAGAGCGTTGTCAGCCTCGCTGTCATAATCCAATGGGGGGTTGTTGTTGTTGTAGTGGAGAATGATTGAGGAAGAGCCGACAAATTTACCAAGCGCTAGTCCTGATAATATCAGTCATCTTACGCACCATCGTTTCTGTCATGCTTCCTCCTCCAGGGGTTAGGCATAGCGCTGGAATTAGGCAAGAGCCCCCCAGGACATTCCTCCAGTATCGTTGATCCTTGGCGGGGCATTGTCGGTTAAATGCTTACGTGGCTAGTCCCTCCCCAAGTACCGAACTGGCTTATCTGTAATCGATTAGAATTATTTGAACTTTTTYTWYTTWTYTTTTTTTTTTTGCTTCTTCTATACTCCAAGCCTTTCTTTGCCTGCCTGCCTTATGTCTTTTGTCTTTTCTCATTCCGTATCTCATCATCGACTGCTGAGAACTCATATCATCCCTTGTATAAGACATAATTCACAATGGCCGTCCAGTTCTGTACCGGCTGCGGAGATCTTCTCCCCATCTCTCACCAACGCGAGGTCAAGTGCGAATGCTGCGGCAACCTAAACGACAGTATGATTCCTTGGTGACACCGAGCTTCTTTTTTGTTTTATTCGCAATGAGGGAACCTCTCTCGACTGACGACTCACCCGATGCGCAGACAAGCTGCAGACATACTCTTCTGAATCCTCCTCCAACAACTTCCCATCTGAGCTGCGCGACAGGCGTGGTGTGGTTCAGGCTTCTAAGCCCATGGCGTCGACCGATACATGGTCCTACACGGACATGCAGTGCCCCAAGTGTCACGCCGCCCAGGTCCAGTACACAAATCTCCAGCTCAGAGGTGCTGACGAAGGCTCAACACTCTTTTACTTCTGCCCCGGCTGTGGGGAGAGGTGAGTTCCTCCGATCATGATGATTGCCAGTGTCTGCTTACTTCGAGGTGCTAATATGCTGTGTAAACAAGATGGAACGAGGACAATTAAACCGACGAGCACGTCATTCCTCGCCTGTGTACCGTTTCCGAGCTGAGGTTTCACGGAAACAGGATAACATTCGTTCTCCTCCAATGTCCACGGAGTCACGTTTGATTCTTCGTCTGAGACGGGACGTCGAACCCACCAAGTCTGACTCTTTCCTGGTCCCCTTCCTCCTGTATTCTATCAACTTGGGAGGGTTACATGTCTCGAGGGTCGCAAGACGACGCTGGCCATGCGGGACCAAGTTTCGACCGCAAAGCGTCGGACCATGATCAGATTTGGGTACTCGCCCGGTGCTCATCCCCGTTATGAGAGGCGGAAAATATGTCGAGTTCGGGCGGGCTGCATGAGGATCGGACTTAGAGTCTCGGCAAGATCCCGGCGGTCCCCCGCCCCCTCCCCCTCATCCCAGTCAGAAAATCCTCAGACTTGGAGCTTGTGGGTAGAAACTTTGCGATGTGAGCATAGGTCTCTTTTTTTTCTTTTTCTTTTTTAACTCGCCTTCTCTTATACCTTTTCTCAACCCGCCGGCACTTGGACAACAATAGAACATTACTCCGCATGCTGTAGAAGCACAGAAATAAGCCGATTGATTCTTGGCATCAAAGGTGTGCAGCATGGTGATACGAGTCGTAGGAGGACAAAACTCGGAGCATGTTGGACATGTGTCTGTGATACCTAGCCAGTCCGCTAAAAATCCTCAAGCCAAGTGGATCCAATAGCCGAGATATTGGTTGCATGAGATTGGGAGAGAAACAAACGTGTCTGCGGGGCTAGTAGCCGTTGACCCTTGAGACACTAGGTCCTTCAGCCACTCTGTCGGCGGTTGCACCACCATGGAATAATTGATGTATGAACAGCTTCTAACGCGGACGTCTGTTGGTTGGGGTCGGATCCGTTCTGCTGTCCTTGTCGCTGTCGCTGGCTGGCTGGTGCTCGACTGACAGCTCCGGCTCCTTGACTGCGTTTCCCAGGCTGTTGTTCTCTTGTTGTTCCCTCTTTCGCAAAGCTTCCTCCAACAAGGCAAAAATATCCTTCCACTGGTCGGTCTGGTCCAGGGTCTGAGGCACAACCCGACCCCGCCAGACCGCCCTGTCGTAGACTGTGGAGGTCCTCGAAACATATTAAGAGTTTACTACCCAGACTAGTCCTGGTGGAGCGCCAAGTCTTAGAAAGAGAGTATTGTTAGCAGGTCATCTTGCTCAATCTCAATCTCATCAGAAGCTGCAGGTCAAAGACGTGGGTTCGTCCCGCCACCACTACTGCCACACACACACACCTGTTTTTCTTTCTTATCCCATATCCTGAGGGGGAAAAAACGTCAAACGGACGCAGCGCTCTCACGCAGGGCATTGTCTCTTTATCGGAAGCAGTAGGAGCTTCTATGTCCATCGCCCACAGCATGATGCCACTTCCACAGGACGTGCCGCTACCTCCGGACGACGGGATGGCCCCAGGCACCATGCTGTACCCCAACGGACCGTTCGTCAGTGGCAATGCCATGATGACCGGCACGGTCGCTCAGCCATCTTCAGCGCACCAGGCTCTGCCGCACCAGACTCTGCCGCACCAGACGTTTGATAACTTCTCCAAGCCGGCCAAGCTATCGGCAGCGGCGTCGTCGTCGTCGCAGGCGGTAACATCATCGTCGGCGGCAGCTGACCAGGATGAGTCCGAAGCTACTCCGACAGCCTGTCTCGCATGCGTAAGTAACCTCTCATATCTCACATTGCGCCCATCGGTGGAGGAGGAGAGAAAGAAAGAAAGAAGGAAGGGAGGCGGGATGTCAAGACGCAGAATAGAGAGTCAGAGGGGAAGCGGAGGGACGGGATTCAGCGAGTGGGTGGGATTGGCGAGAGGGAAGGAGCCATCCGTTCCCCTTGCTTCCTTCCTCTCCTTCCCCATATCACATGTAGCATGCACCTGATCAGGCTCCCCCTCCTTTGAACCTCTTTGACGCGAGACTTTCCATCCGCAAAGATACAACGGCAATTAGCTGACATTCCTACCCCTACCCCTACCCCTACCCCCCCCGGCAGCGCACCAAGCACCTAAAGTGCGACAGAGCACGTCCATGCGCTCGCTGTATCGCCTCAAGCTCTGACTGTGCCTACGTCGCCTCACGCCGAGGCTACAAGGGGCCGCGACGCGCTCCTGTCCAGAATCCCAACAAGCGTCAGGCCACGGCGCCTCCGGAGCAAGATCCAGCCGAGTATTACAGCCCGGTACAGCCCGTGACGGATACGCCTGGCATCTGTCCATTCACAGGCACACGCTTGGTTACCGGGAGCTCTACATCCCCGCCGTCCTCTTGCAGCAAGTCGCCCGGGTACCAGAAGACGCCCAACGGCTTCTCGGGGTCTGAGGTCTCTGCAAACAACGGCGTCGTGCCTGCCAATAGGAACGTTGTTGCCAATGGCGGTTCCGTTCAGCGCCCGCTTCTGTCGCTGGCTGAGAGGTGCCTGAGCTCCTTCTATCACAACTTCCACCCTTCGCACCCCTTTGTGCTGCCGAAGGAGTACCTTCTGCGCTTCTCGCACGAGGAATCGCTGGAGCCCCTCCTTGCGGCTGCGCGGTGGGCCGGATCGCTCTACATTGACGTGCCGTCGGCTCGTGCCAGCCTCCTGGACGAGGCCTACCAGCGCGTCTATAACCCCCGCGCGACGCGCGACGGCTTCCTCGTCCAGGCCATGATGGTCCTCATCATCGCCATGGACGGCATGACCATGAATGAGAAGGCCAGGGAGATGCTCATGGACGCCGAGAATCTGGCTGTGGAGATTGCCCTCAACACGCGCCTATTCGCCACCGTTCACGGCCGCAACATGCCTATCCTTGAGGAGAGCTGGCGCAGGACGTGGTGGGACCTGTTTGTCATTGACGGCATGATCGCTGGTGTCCACCGGATGACCAACTTTGCCCTCTTTGACGTACCAATGGACGTTGCTCTTCCGTGTGAGGAGCACGAGTATCTCAGCGGTGTGAGTAGCAGTATATGCCTCGCTTCCCTCCTCCCCCCCCCCCCCCCCCCCCAGTATCTGCAACCAGGACCTGTACTCGTCTTGCTAACTCGGATCTGCATCGCAGACCATCCCGCAACCGAAGCTTCTCGAAGAGCTGGAAGAGCAGGAGTTCTCGGACAGCGAGGAGCAGTTCTCATCCTTCTCGTACCGCGTGCTGTGCGGCCGCAACCTGGGCAAGTTTATGCGGACGCCGCCAATCCAGGGGCCCGACGACGAGAACCTGGCGCGGATCGAGACGCTCCTGACCAACTGGCGACTGCACCTACCGCCATCGAAGCGCGACGCGCTGGACACGCAGGGCCGGATCGACGAGATGATGTTCCAGGCGCACATGATGGTAAACGCGACGTCGATCCTCCTGCACCAGCCGCACTCGCAGCTCGACTCGTCGCCGGCCGAGACCATCACGTCGTGCGCGCCGCACCAGGCGGTCCTGACGACGGGCCAGCCCTTCAACTCCCATACGCGGCACGTCATCTCTTCGGCGTCGGCTATCTCGCGGCTCGTCACGCTGCCCCGCCCGCCGACCGTGGCGCTGACGTGCCACACCCACTTCTTCACCTGCGTGCTCACCCTGTCGTCCATCGTCCACCTGTCCAAGTGGGCCCTCCGCTTCGTCCAGTACGACGACGACGACCTCCGCCAGCTACTCCGCCTCAACATCGGTGCCCTGTCCGAACTCTCGCACGTATGGCCCGCCGCCGACCGCGCCCGCACCCAGGTGCGCTCCGTCGCTTCGGAAATCTACCTCGCCAAGAAGAAGGTGCAGGCCACGCCGCACTTTTGGACGGGTCTCACGAGTGACCAGGTCTCTTCCTCGATTGCTGCCGATGATGATATCATTGAGGGAATGGATTTCAAATCTAAGCCTAAATCTTTGAAGTAGATTTTTTCCTCCAGGAAGGGAATTTTTTTTGGTTTCCCTCTCCTCTTCCCCTCTTCTTTTTCTCTTCTTTCTCTTCCTCTCTTTTTTTTCCCTTCCTTTCTCATCTTCCTTTTCCTCTTCGTCCTCTTTTTTCTTTTTGGCTTTGATCGTTTTCAGTTTCTGATTGATGATCTTTTTCACACACATACACACATACATGCATCTCAAACTACTCTGCTTCATGAGACGAACCCAGGTAATGTTGATGGGATCCCATACCCTGGTCGTCTTTTTACAAAAATAGTGCAGATCTTGTATGACGTCTCTTCTTCTTTTCCTTCTCTTGGTTCTGTGGGAATTTTTTTTTGGGGGGGGGGAGGGGAGGTTGGGTTTCTTATCAAAAACTGTGCGGATGGATTTACGGGAACGATTCGAGCGAGGGGGTAACGGTCCAACTCGCGTACGGTTTCGGATACTGGTCGTGGATGCTGCTGGTTGATGGATGATGGATCACTACGGTTAGGGATGGTGGTAAACCGAGGGGAGAGTGACAAAGAGGAGCTACACATTCTACATTTTCAAGTTTGAAATCTAATCGTTATTACACTGAGAGGAGAAGAAGAAAATACACACATCGGGGCAATGGGTTATTCAGAGTTAGGACAGGAGAAGAAGCATCACGAGGGACACGAACAAGAACAGCAGACTAAGACGATGTCTTGTAACCATACTCCCAACTCACAAGAAGGACCCTTTCTTTTTTTCTTCATTTTCTTCCTTTTCTTCTTTTTCTTCCTATTCTTTCCTTTCCTTTCTCTCTTCTTCTTATACAAACAAGCAATAAAAGAACAGAGAGAGAGAGAAAGGAAAGGAAAAGGAAAAGAATCCTCCCCGCCCCCCGCCCCCCGTCACAGCCTCGTCGTGGACCACTTGCGTGCCGGCACCCGCGTCTCAAACATGGTGTCAACCTCGGCAGGGGTACGATCCTTGGTCTCTGGAAGCCTGATGTAAGCCCAGGCAAGGGCCACGACGGCCGTCACGACCCACACGAGCGCGGCCCTGGCCTCGAGACCCTATCCGTCCGGTCTGCTCCCCAGCAGGGAGGGGGCGAGGAACATGTTGACCATGACGAGGACCAGCAGGGCGGCGCGGGCCATCGAGTTGGTCGGCCCCTTGAGGCGCGTGGTCGGCACCTCGGATGCGATGGCGTAGCCCATGGGGCCGATGGTCAGGTTGAAGACGACGGCGAGGCCGACGATGAAGGCGGCAATGACCCAGCCCATGACGGCGCCGAGGCGCGAGTTGGCGTAGAATCCGGAAACCCCGATGGCGACGAGGCACGCAATCGTGCCCGACAGGCCGCCGATCCAGGCAGTCCGTCTCCGGTAGAGACGTAGGACGGGGATGGATGCGAATGTTGCGAGGACGCACATGAAGTGCATGCCCAGGTTGACGAGGATCGAGTTACCCTCGGTGACGCCGGCGTTCTGCAACACCTTGGACGCGTAGTAGAGCAGCGGGAGGCCGACGGATTGCTGCGTGAGGTATACCATGACGGTGATTTCCGTCCGGCGCAGGTTCCCATGCTTGAAGCAGGCCAGGAACCCCGTGTCTCGCGATCCGCCGCCGCCACCCCCGCCGGCGAGCCTGCCGGCGAGTCTGAGGGCATCGAGGGTGGCCTCGGCATCCAGGCGCGGGTCGCTGCTGAGCCGGCGGATCGACGCAGACGCCTCGCGGGGCCGGCCGTGCTGGAGAAGGCTGAGGGGGCTCTCGGGGAGCATGAGGAAGAGTGCGAGCAGGGGGAGGACCCAGGCGTACTGCAGCAGCATGGGTATCCTGAAGGCCCAGGTGTCGCGTCTCAGGCCCGAGCTGGTCAGCTGCTCGGGGCCAAGACCGAGCTCCTCGGTCGAGCGCAGCACGACGGCGCCGAGGAGCTGTCCAGAGGTGCTGAAGGCGCTGACCAGGGTCGTGGCAGGGCCGCGCACCTTGAGCGGTGTGACGTCGGAGATGTAGGGGACGGAGATGCCCTGGAAGAGGCCCCAGGGGATGCCCAGGAGCACCTCCCCGGCGAGGAAGAGGCCGACGCGGAGGTCCGTGCTGTCGGGCGGGGCGCCGACGAAGCTGGAGGCAGAGGGGATCAAGAGGACGAGGGCAGCCGTGGAGAGGCCCAGAAGGGCGGTGCGTCGGTAGCCCAGCCTGCTCGTGAGCGTGGGCGCCGCGAGGATACCGACGACCTGGCCGGCGGCGATGCCGGCAGCGATGGCCGTCTGCCACGAGGTGAGGAGGGCGCTGTCCAGCCTGCCGTCCCGGTCGGCGTCGTTGAACGGCGTGAGCTGGCCGCCCGGCTTGGAGGAGCTGCCGTAGAAGCGCGCAAAGGGCTGGAAGCTGAAGAAGGTGGACACGATGCCGACCCCGTAGCCTTCCATGACGGCCGTCGAGGCCATGAGGGTGGCCCAGAGGAGTGCGGGCTTGTAGTGGACGACTGCGTAGCGGAAAGTCATGGTCTGCTCGTGGCGAGCGGCCCGCGCGGCGGCATCTCGGTGATCGGGATGTCCGGTCGGCCTTGGAGGTGACAGCTCGTCGGCACGTTCAGGTCGGCTTCTCCGGGAGCTGGCGGCCGCGGAGATGCTGCCAGACACTACATGGTCATCGGGGGTCTCGGACATGATGACGGCGAGATGATGGAAACGATGAAATGAATATAAACGCGCGCGCGCGCGCACGCACACACACACACACACACACGCCAAGTCGCCTCGAGAAGTATGATGAGACAAGATAAAAGGGGGGAGGGGGCTGCTGGTGACGTGTAGGTTTGTTGGTTCTGAGGAGGGGAGGGAAGGGGAAGGAGAGGTGGCTATTTATTTATCTCTTCTTTTTTTTCTGATCCCTCACTTTCTCGTCTCCTTCTCCTTCTATGAGAGAAGGGTAGGCACGACTTGTAGGTCATGATGATATAATAATATATGTATATATGTATATATATGTATATATGTATATATATATATATATATACACATGTGGCGTATGGCAAATGGCAAGAGCTTCCAAGCCGGAGAAGATGCCACTCGAATCCGTCGCGGCAGGATATGAGAATAGTACAGCAGGTGGTAATGATGCATCAGGTATCGGACAGGTTGAGAGGAGCGAGAGGAGGGGGGAGGGGGAGGGGGAGGCTCCCGCCCCTCACGCTCACATCAGGCAAGACCAGCAATCACTACGGATCCTTGATTGTCAGAGCCAAGCCCTCATGCTGTCGGCATAGTCGACGTCGAGACCCCAATCCTTGACGACCTCGTCGATGCCCCTACGCATCCTGGCGACGTACTCCTCCTTTGGCCTGCTCCCCCTGACCCTCTCGGTGTCGACGTAGGCCAGGGCCTTGACCTTCTCGGGCTTGGGCAGCGGCTTCCCGGACGCGTCCCTCTCCCAGAGGACGTCGACGTGCTGCTTCCCGTACGCCACCGGGACGTTCTCGCACCTGTCCAGCCGTTCCTCGTCGGCCGGCGGCAGCAGGTACAGCAGGCCGTAGACGCCGCCGCGGGAGCTCTTGGCCGGCGGCTCCCCGCCGGGGGAGGAGTAGGCCGTCAGGGACTCGGACAGGGACAGGAGCTCGTCCGGGATGATGTTGGCGAAGCCCCGCTCGTTGATGATCCAGGACCATCCAGCCAGGTGGGCCAGGCCGACGGGCGTAGACGACGGGCATCGACGGAGCATCTGCTGGGTCGACAGGTTGGAGCCGAAGGCGAAGTAGAGGATCTCGTTGGGGTGGTCTCCTGTGATCGTCATGCTGCTCTCCTGGGCGCGAATCTTGGGAGGCATCCTGAATGATGTCTTGTTGTCGTTGTTTATTATCGTTGTCGGTTTTTTGTGCGTATGTGTTTTTTTGGTTGTGTGTATACTTGTGTGTGTGTGTGTGTGTGTGTGTGTGTGTGTATGTGTGTGTGTGTGTGTGTGTGTGTATGTGTGTGTGTGCGTGTGTGTTTATGCGGGNTGTGTGTGTGTATGTGTGTGTGTGCGTGTGTGTTTATGCGGGTTTGCGAGTCGCTGAATCCTCTCTTCTTCTTATAATCTCGATGATTTATATATACAACTCGGATAGTACTCGATCGACTCTCGAGTGGTGTGATGCGGTGTACTCTGCTCACTTTGAAGCGTTGTCGTGATGTGCCGTGTCCAGCTGTCTGCTCTGCTGTCTTTTTTCTTCTTTTTTCTTCTTCTTTTTTTAATATGCATATATAATATATATATATATATATACATATATACATCTCGTCTTGTATTGTTCCCGTCTTGGAGTCTCTGCATAGAAAACTTGTCAGACTTCAATATTGATTGATACAATGCATATCCCCCCCCCCCCTTAATGTCCGACTTGTCCCATGTGAGTATAATCTGCACATGGCATATGGAAAGAAAAAGAATCATCATTATTATAAATAAATAAGTCGGATAAAAAAAAAAGACAACAGGATACAAGTCAGTCGGGCACGAAATTCTGCGGGAATTGCTGCCTAGAGATATAGTCGTCGAGCCAGCTTGGGGATATCCGTTTTGAAGAATGGAAATGGCTGCTGAGCTGTACAGATTACATCCTTACAGCACGTAACAATGCGCAGTCCAAGTTTACGGACGACAATGACTCGTAGATTGAGGCTACGCCTCATCGTACCAGGATCAGGCCCCAATCTATATCCTCCGGGGGGGGGGGGTTTCTTCTATGTTATTTGTCTTCTTTTTTTTTTCTTTTTTTTTTTCATCTCTCCCGTCTTCCTTTTACCCGATATGTACGAGTACGACATTGCCAACGATGCGAGGCAGATTTTTTTTTTTCTCCTTTCCATGTCAGTGGGTCGCATATGATGTATGTATCATTACCTGTACCAGTCACGACGAGTTGAGTACGACGAGTACGACGAGTACGACGAGTACAGCTGTTTTCCCCATCTTTCGACGCAAGACTCTGACAACGTGGACGATGATGCATGCAAACTCATCAAGATGATGGCAGCACGACGTACGTGATGGATTACCTGTCCCTCGCCAGCAGTGACGGTTCGACAGCTTATACCACTACCACCACATTGAAAAGAATCATATGATGACGTGATGAAGAGTATCAAGGTTCGAAAATACAATGTACACATTACTGACGGGGGGAAAAGAAAGAAAGAAAGAAACAAGAAATACCATGTCTAAATCCATTCATCATCTCTCATCTAGTCTTGTGCGTGTGTGTGTGTGTGTGTATATGTTGCATGGGGGTATTATACATCTTTCCCTCTTCCGAAACAGAAAGAAGAAGAAAAAGAGGAAAAAGAGACGAGAAAGAAAAAGTAACCAACCCATCAACCCATTATATATATAAATCCCTCTTGCCAAAGAAAAAAAAAACAGGTAGATAGAGGTGGCGGGGGAGAAGAGAACGTCTGTGGTTGCCGAGAGAGCGAGCGAGCGAGCGAGAGAGAGAGAGAGAGAGAAAAGAAGAAGAGGAAATAAAGAAGAAGAGAGAAGAGGAGGAAGAAGGAGAGAAGAAGAAAGAAAACCCTATGCACTAGGCGCCAGGAAATCGGACAGCATGAGATCGTCAGCGCTAGGTCGGAGATTGTGATCAATCTCAAACGTCTGGGTCAGGAACTGCTTGGCCTCGTCGCTCGCGTGGTCGGGTATGGTCGGGCTCGCCCGCCCGCCGCCAATCTTGAAGATGGCCTGGAGCTGGCTGCAGTCCGGGAACGGGTGCGAGCCCGTCATCATCTCCACCACCAGGCAGCCCAGGGACCAGATGTCGGCCTTACGCGTGTACGACGTCTGCTTCACCACCTCGGGCGCCATCCAGAAGACGGAGCCCTGGAGCGACGGCCGGTGCTTCTGGTTCGCCCCCGCCGCCCCCGACAGTATGTTGGACGCCTCCAGCTTCTTGGAGATGCCAAAGTCGGAGATCTTGATGGTGCCCTTGTTGTCCACCAGGATGTTGGCGCCCTTGATGTCGCGGTGGATGATGTCCCGGTTGTGCAGGTACGACAGGCCCGTCAGGATCTGCCGCACGAAGCTGCGCACCAGCGGCTCCGGCAGCGCGCCGTACGAGTTGAGCATCGTCTGCACCGACCCGCCCGGGACGTACTCCAGGAAGATGTTGAGGTAGTCGGCCGACGAGCTGCAGCCCAGGTACTGCACGATGTTGGGGTGCCGCAGCTCCCGGAGCAAGCCGATCTCGCGCTTGAGCGCGTCGATCATGCTCTTCTTGCGGTTGTCGCTCTGCGTGTTGGCCCCCGGCGCCGGCGTCTCCACCTGCTTGACGGCCAGGAGCTCGCCCGTGACGGCGTGCAGCGCCAGGTACACGCTGCCGAACGAGCCCTGCCCGATGAGGGCGCCCTTCATCCACTTGTTGTCGTCCCACGAGTCGCCCGACAGGAAGCTCTGCAGCTCCTCGTCCGCGTCGTCGCCGTCCGTCGTGAGCGCCTGCTTGATCTCCTGGAAGGACCCCGACTGCGTCGACCCGTCCGTGTCGAAGAAGCTGCCCGCCGCCGTGTTGCCGTCCGGGTCCGTCACGCTGACCGGCGTCGCCCCGTCCGAGCTGCTCTCGGTGAAGGACACGTACGACTTCCGGTCCGGCTCCATCGCCGTCGACTCCTCCTGCAGCGTGTCCAGCATCGAGGACGCGAACGAGTCGCGGTTGAACATCTGCGGGAGGCGGCCCTGCGAGTCCCGCCCGTGCACCTTGGCCACCTGGCCGCCCCCGTGGAGCCACGAGTCGGCGATGGTCGGGATCGGCGGCGCGTCCTGGATGCTCGACGCGAAGCTCAGGTTGCTGGCCACGCTGAGCCGGCTGTTGACCTTGCTGAGCCGCGTCGACCTCCGCATCGAGAGCCGGGCGGTGCGGTCAATGTCCTCGCGCGCGTGGTCGGGGAAGTACGAGGTGAGGTCGCAGGCGATGAGCTCGCTCGGCGGCCGGAGCCCGCCGAACTGGCGGAGGCTGCCCACCTTGCGGCGCTGCGGCGCCGACGAGTCGCTCGACGGGGGCCGCTCCAGGTCCTTGGCCGCGTTCGACACGTTCCTCTGCCGGTCGCTGTACGAGGCGGGCGACAGCGGCTGCTGGAGCTTGTCGCCCCACCTCTCGCCCAGCACCTTCTGCACCTTGGCCTGGCCGCGCTTGTCGACCGTCTCGAGGGCGCGCGAGTACTTCTGCTGCTCCTCCTCCATCGCGATGGCCGCAGCCCGCTGCAGCTCCTGCGAGCCGGGCGAGCCGGCCGGGACGCGGCGCAGGATCAGCCGGTTCCGCTCCGGCCGCCTCTGGTCCTTGATGATGCGCCAGAGCTCGGTGTCGCCCAGCCGCTTGCAGTGGTTGGGGTCGGGCTCGGTGCCGGTGAGGACCCAGAAGCAGTAGTTGCGCTCGTGGTCCTCCCTCAGGGTGAACTTGCGCAGGGTGACGCGCATCACCTCCTCGCACGTGTTGCAGCCGGCGATCTTGACCACCTTGGTGACGCCGTCGGTGGAGATGACGCGGATGACGTCCTGGTTGTGAGGGAGGGCGGCCATGAGCGACCCGTCGACGCTCGAGTTGTTCCTCGTGTGGGCCAGGCGGGCGGAAGACTGCGGGTCAGACGGCGTCTGCTGGTGCCTGGGCGGCGGGTTGGCGGTGAAGTATCCGGCACCCTGGGGGTATCGCTGCTGCTGCTGCTGCTGCTGCTGCTGCCGTGCTCCACGAGGGTCCGTCTCCTGGATGGGCGATGTCGGGCGAGAGCTGGTGGGCTTGGACAGGTCGTAGGCCGACATGTCGTAGGCCGACATGTCGAGCTGTCTCGAGAAGCGCTTGTTGAAGAGCGGTGCGGCGTGGCCGGGCCGAAAGGTCTGGTTGCGTGGCGAGCTGGTCTGGGGAGGCTTGACCTGGATCTCGAGAGCACCAAAGGAGTCCTGTCGGGAGGTCAGCATTCCGGGCATCGGGGTGAGAGGGGGGGAGGGGGAGGGCGTCGCGTGATGGGTCCAGGTCAGTCGAGCAGGCAGGCCTTCTCTACTTACGCGGTTCCTCTTCTTCTGGTTGGCGCAGGCCTTGGTGCGGAGCTTCTTGATTCCCAGGAAGAGGCGGACACGGTCACCGACCTTGTCGATGCCCATCTCCTTGAGGACGTCCTTGTCCATCTCAAGCAGGTTCTCGCCGTTGATGTGGTTCTTGCGGAAGATGGCCTGGTAGTCGCCGCAGTTGATCGTGTTCAGGTAGTCACAGACCCTGTCCTCGTCCCAGTTCCTGACCGAGTCCGGGCCGTCGAGGTCGGAGAAGTCGGAGCCGGCAGGGCTGCCCGGCGCTCCTCCATGATGCTGGGCGCTGGCTGGGGTGACGGCGATGCGTCTCGAGGTCGGGAGGGCGCTCGGAGGGTTCCCACCGGAGGGGAGACCCGAGGTGGTGATGACGGTGGGGAAGGGGCTCTTCGAAGCCAACATGGCCATTATCTTGTTCTTGCGGATGGTTTTATTAAAAAGTAGCGGTACCGGTACGGTCGGGTAGGAGTAATATCGTATGCGTGTGTATGTATGTGTCGTAAAAGGGTCGTCGATAGAGGATGAGAGTGTCTCTCGAAGGGGGGAGGGGGGGGGAGATTAGACACCGCGGTGCTCGTATACTCGATTATAGTCAAACTCGTCGTGCAGACGGGGTCCAGCCCGGCGGGAGGGGGAAACAGAGAAAGGCTGAGGAAGAGGGAGGAGGCGAGGTCCGACGGTGAAGCGGGTCAGAATGGGGACACTCGTCTAGAGGCACCAGAAAGCCGATCGATTGTCGGACAAGCAGCGAGCAGGTCGACGCTAGTTCACTCTTCTGGCTGTTGATGTTGAGGAGGAGGAAGGGAGAGGTGGAAGAGAATAAAACAAGCTCTCTGAGCTGAGTAGGAGAGAGAAAAATGTGAAGAGGAGAAACAAGAGCCAAGCCCCAGAGTAATAGAGAGTTGACAATAATACCTTGAAGATAGTAATATATGTACAGATCATAATACACATGTACGGTACANCGACGCTAGTTCACTCTTCTGGCTGTTGATGTTGAGGAGGAGGAAGGGAGAGGTGGAAGAGAATAAAACAAGCTCTCTGAGCTGAGTAGGAGAGAAAAAAAAGGTACGACGTGAAACAAGAGCCAAGCCCCAGAGTAATAGAGAGTTGACAATAATACCTTGAAGATAGTAATATATGTACAGATCATAATACACATGTACGGTACATGCTACCGCTACAACTACTATCGTCATGGCACTAATCGTAGTAGCAAGTAATGTTTTTCTAATATCAGGATATTCCGTACCTACGGATCACGGTGCGTATCGTGTCTCGCTAGCAGCACATACGAGAGAGAGCAGGACGGCGGGACAAGGAGCACGGAGTCGGACAGAGCCGGGCGCTTGCGGCTTCAGCTGGAGGGGGGGGGGGGGGGGGGGGGACAAGGCCTCAGGACACAGGTCGTGCGTGACAGGGCCTCGGTATGGGTATCATATCAAAACCGTCATACGAGTGATAGCCTGTAGTACGTAGCAGCCTCTGGGTGGCCCTGGGTGATGACGCGACGGCCGGGGGAGGGGGGGGGCGGCCTGATGGGCTAGGCTGCAGAGAGTAAGTTCTAGGCGGTAATTACCGTCCTTATCGGGGCCCGTTACGGTGAGGAGTCCCCTGCAGTAAGCAGCGGCTGCTGGTGTCGACGTCTGGCGTGTACGGGTGGGAGGGGGCGGGGGGGCTACGGGCTGGTAGTTGATGACTAGTCGCTGATGTTGTCGATATCATCCATTCACCTATTTACTTGCTAGAGGACCGAGGTAGAAGAGCTCAGCGTGGAGGGTGGAGGTGTGGATTGTGGACTATCCCCCCCCCCCCCCTCACCCTTCTCTGCTACCTGCTCTTGATATCTGCTGACCCTGGCTGTGGGTGGCAGACTGAAACGGCTGGACGGTGAACCCCCTGCAACCCCTGGAACCCTTGGCTGGGTGCGGTGCCGGCCACGACGAGCATTACCATTACCCGTACACGCAACAGCATCGCAGCAGCCTACAGATTACAGGTGTCATCGTCATGCGACCGCGACCGTCGGCCCGTCATCGCCTGTCCCTCAGCGCCCGTACGCCCTGTTCACGGTGGGACCGGCATCTGATACGGTGCGCGCATATCCGGTGTGCGTGCGTGTCGACTGTGCTCTGCGTGCGCGTATAATACGCTGTACGAGTCGTACGCGGGATACGTATGACAGTACGAGTCACGATCTAGTTGAAACTACAGATTACATCTTCACGACACTTGTTTGTTTGGACCTGAAAGAGGAGGAGGAGGGGAAGGGGTCGGGTCATACCGGTCAGTACAGTACGCGTACGGCAGTACTACTGCTATAGATGCCAAAAAAAAAAAAAAAAAAAAAAAAACATGTCGATACTCTATGCCCGGAGGTTGGGACGGTAAATCAAACAGGGGCGATGGTCATCGGATGATGCAGGTAAGAGTCTACAAGGTGTGAGGCACAAGTACGGGCAGTCGTTACGCTAGTAAGAGATCACGGTCCCCCCCGCTTGAGAAGAGTGCTGATCTTCGCAGCACGAGATGACGAGTATTACATATTGATGTACAGATCAAAATGAGGGTTGACGGTACGGCAGGACACTTGTATCCTTATCGATACGACGACATCTTGATGGTTGTTCTGTAGAATGGCCCTATGACCTGCCAATAATCTCGTAGAGATATATAGATGGCCTACATCCGAACAGGTTACATGGACCGATCTTGTAAATCCACTACATCATCTTCTTCTATCTGACCATGTACTATCCATGCCATAGTATCAAGATCAAACATGAAGCTTAGCGGTCGAGTTATAGGGTAGATTTCCATCTTCTCGGGGGGGGGGGGGGGGGGTTGGTCCATGCTGCTCGACTCATCATGGCTCACCTGTAGAGCAGACCTCGTGGTATCATTACATATAATGATATTCATCTCCAGGTATGAGTATCGGATGGCTCCGACACACGAATGCACCCGTGCGACTCTTGACAAGTCCACAACATTCCTCTTTTCACCACCATCATCATTCTTCTCTCTCTTCCTCTTCCTTCTCTCTCCCTCTTTTTTCTTCCCCTTCCATAATCATGCAGGCATCCCCGCCCGGTGAGGTGCGTCGGGGGACCGGGACGAGCTACGGACTACTACGACGCACACTGGGGAGGCACGTGACCATGACGGGAACGAGGCCGGTACGCGTGCTGCCGAGGTGAACAGGAGAGCATCGCTGCGACAGGTACCCTCAGTACGGATATGGATGAGTGGTACCGGCACCATCCTGGTTACGATGCGATGCTGGTAAAAGATGAGACGGGCAGAGATTCATGCTAATCCTCGTACGCGGCTTTGTTCAGATATACCCGTACGCAGCAATCATCGGCCACTACCATGGAGAGCTACTGGTATATACGAGTACATCGTCAAGGCGCATCGCATATGCTCATTTCAAAGAAATAAAAACAAGAAACCGATACGAGAGAGTGTTAGATAGCGACCGTATCGGAACCCCGATGAATGTGCAATGCTCCCCCTCCGTTGCGTCAAGCGCGCGGTCGAAAAGGTGAAACACGCTGCGTTGCAGGTTGCGAAAAAAAAAAAACAAGGGGGGGGGGGGGGTTGCAGACATGATATTTAACATGATATTTAGACGGTGTGTGCATTGTAATACGTCATCTTTTCTTTCCTTCCTTCCTTTTTTTTTCTTTTTTTTTCCATTCCCTCCCCTCTCTCAACTCTTTCTGTCTCCTTCTTACACTTTTTTGTTGTTGTTGCTGCTGCTGTTGCTGTTGACGATATCAGTCATGGCATCAATGCACGAGTGAGTAGTATACGGCCTTTCCCCCCCTCCTGCTTCTGCTGCCGTCTTCTGGTACGGCAGTCTCATGCATGATAGGTTACGAGTATCACGAATACGGGTTGGATGGGACAGCTTGTTGACACGTCTTGAGTGACCGTAGACTGTATTGATAGCCGCTTGGACAATCTGTACAGATATACGCATATACCTGTACTACAGATCACTCGTATCTCTGCACCCTCTTACCTTTGATAGGTTCAGCGAGGGTGTGACGCGTGTTCGTGCTCTTCTGTTTGGTTTCACCGAACCTCCTCCTAACGCTGAAACGCTTTGAAACGACCGCGACGGTGATATCGTCAAAAAGGTGGTTGATATGAGCAGAAGATGTTTCAAGTCGTCGTCTTTGTCAACGTCATCCCTCCCTCCCTCTCTCTCTCTCTTTTATTTTATGATATGTATATATATATATATATATTAATTTAATCAATCTTTTTGTCGTTGTTCTGCTCTTTCTTTCCAAACTACTAGTGCTAGTACCCTGGTACTCCGTACCTCAGCACCATTATTGCATGCATGTATGGGCATCAGAATCCAAACGTGGTGGATCTCTCTGTCCCAAAGACTGGAAACCGACAATGATTTGCACTTGAGTTGGGTCGATCCACGTGGGATTTCCGAGACTCTTACCCAAGCTCCGTCACATGTATCTCGTACGACGCGCGTGGGTTGATATTAGGTGTACTGTCGTGTATACCTGCATCTGTAGAGACATGTCTGCTAATAACGTTGAACGTGATCAGGTCATACGTCGTTGGCCATTGTGCTGCTCCCTGCCGGCAAGGACCGCCTAACCTGTAGTGCAGTCTAGCCTAGAGTGAATCTGTCGATCCGGATGCCCTCTTAACAGTTTTGTGTATGGCGGTGCGGCCGGTCATGTTAGTGCACTAATCTAATCCTACCCAGCTATGGACTTTTTTTTTTTTCCTTCTTTGCGCACCACTCACCATGTGCGGGGGCCCTGACAGATTAGGTGACTATGATAACTTCCTGTTACCGTAACGGTATCTTTGGATGACGAGGAATCCTTCTTTTTTTCTTTTCTTTTTTTTTCTTTTCAAAATCGGATGATTTCCCTCTTCTTGTAGAGTGCGAGGAAGACGGATTTCACTCACAGAACCAAGGGGAGAGATTCCATGTCATGGTGTGAAGAGCGCGTCTTGATATTACCCTCCGAAAAAAAAATACATCAGACATGACCTCCGGCGATGAGAAGCCCGTCGTGGCCTACTTGGGCCCCCCGGCATCATATTCACACCAGGTATCATCTAACCTCTTGGTCGCAACGGAAAACTTGGAGCTGACCTTTGGGGGGGGGGGTGTAGGCTGTGCGGCAAGCTTTTCCCGAATCTGAGTGGGAGCTTGAACCCGTAGTCACCATTGACGGCATGTATACATTCTCTGATTCAATCTGAAAATGAGAAGAAGAAGAAGGAGAAGAAGGAGAAGAAGGAGAAGAAGGAGAAGAAGGAGAAGAAGGTGGAGGAGAAGGAAGAGGAGGAGGAGGAGGGGTGAGAAGGTGAGGAATGAAGAAGATGAAAGAAATGCTGACAATATATGTAGATGTCTTCGACATCGTCCAAGACGGCGGCGCAACAGCCGGTGTCGTCCCGTTTGAAAACTCCACCAACGGTTCCGTCGTCTTCACCCTCGACGACCTAGCCGACCGCAACGGACGGTATCGCGACATCAGAGTCGTAGGGGAGGTATACGTTGACGTCCACCACTGTCTGCTAGGGCATCTTCAGAGAAAACCTCGACCCGAGACTGGAGGATCGTCAGCCTCGACGGCAGCCTCGGCAGCAGCAGCAGCAGCAGCAGCAGCAGCAGTAGGAGGGGGGGGAGGAGGAGGAGGAGGACTAGACGACAGCAACGTGTCGTCGGGGACATGCACACCCACAGCCGCAGATCCTCGACCGGCACACCCGCGCACCAAGCCCCTCGGCAGCCTGGACCACATCAAGCGGCTGTACTCCCACCCCCAGGCCTTTGGGCAGTGCACGGCCTTCATATCCACCTACCTCAAGGGTGTCGAGGTCTTCGAGGTGAGCTCGACCAGCAGGGCGGCCGAGATGGTGAGGGCCGACGAGACGGGTACGTGGGCCGCTATCTCGAGCCAGCTGGCGGCCGAGGTTCACGGCCTCGACTTCCTCGGCAGGAGCATAGAGGACAGGAGCGACAATACCACCCGGTTTCTCATCATCAGGAAGGTCGTCGTCGCCGACGAGGCCGCCGAGGCCGCCGAGGCCGCCGCGAGATCGTCATCGTCATCTTGGACTGCGTCGGCGGACGATGACGGCTGGGCCGTGACGAGATGCACGCCCCTCGCCGTCGGTGCTGCCGGTGCCGGGACGAAATCTCTCGTCTCCTTCTCGGTACCTCACGATTCGCCCGGTGCCCTGGCAGAGGTCCTCGGCTGCTTCAGGGCGTTCGACCTCAACCTCACCAGCATAAACAGCCGGCCTAGCCTGGACAGACCGTTCCAGTACATCTTCTTTGTCGAGTTCGAGGGCCACAGGAACAAGGATCCGGAAGGGAGGGTCAAGGGTGCGCTGGACAAGATTGACGGTGTCGCCGCGAGCTGGAGATGGTTGGGGAGTTGGGAGTGAGGGCGGTGATCCTTACGCTTCCTGCATGTGATTTTGAGTCGATACGGCATCGGACATGGACATGATGAACCTCTTATTTATTTTATTTTTTATCCTATCATGATCTTATCCTGAAAAAAAAAAAAGAGGTAAGAAGAAGAAGAAGAAGAAGAAGAAGATGAAGATGAAGATGAAGAAGGAGGAGGAGGAGGCAAGATTCCGTTCATTACCTTCCGTTACTAAAGACGTGGTACTTGCGTCATCATATTGTTATTGTAATTGGACATGACAAAAGTTCACGATAGTTACATATATGCAAATACTTGAACCCCCGACTCGAGACACCTACAGGGTAAGTGAAGTTGACACTATGTGTGCAAGTTGATCTATGCAGGTAGGTATGAATACAACGTACACAGATGGTGTGATGCCCTCATGCGTTATCGCATACATGAACTCGCATACATGAACTCGCATATGATTATGCCGGTTTCTGCACATTGCATACGATGTATTCTCTCTTCAGAAATGTAAACAAATGCAATTTCCCCTCAAAAGGAGGAGAAGGAGATGTGGAGAGAGAGGAGGAGAGCCAGTAGTAGTAGTAGTAGTAGTAGTAGTAGTAGTAGTAGTAGTAATAGTGGTAGTAGTAACAGTGATAGTAATAGTAGTAGTACTAATAGTAGTAGTAGTAACAGTAGTAGTAGTAACAGTAGTAGTAATAGTAGTAATGGTAGTAGTAGTACGCAGTAAATAACATACGTATTTCATGGCAAGTGGTGTAACATCGCTACACTAACCTGTGCAGCGACTACTACACCATCGACAACGCCACAGCTCAGTACACTGTACCTGAAGGACCCGACCTCGTACCGCCATACGTCTTGTACTGGTACGACGGGGATAGTTCCTGCGTACGTATATTAATAGTACATGTCGTATTCCGTACGCGAAACGACGGAAGAGATATACTTTTTTCTTTCTTTCTATCCTCGCTTTTCTTTTTTTCCTTTCCCTTTGCAAATCCCTTTGCAAGGTTTAGATACGCTAGTTGAATTGGGTGGGAGGGGAACATCTGGCCGAGGAAGCGAGAGACAAGGCCGACAAGACCGACACACGGAAGAAGGGGGGGAGGGGGGATAGAGGGAGAGAGAGAGACACACACACACACACAGAGAGAGAGAGAGAGAGGGAGAG